CACTTTGTGCAATTTTCTGGTACATTAAGAGATATCCACATAAAACCATTACTATATGAACCGGTCTGGCTCAGAAGGCTTCAGGTTCAGTTCAAATGCTGATTATCACCTTTTAATCCCTGCATGACACAGAGATAGGTTACTTACAGCACAGTAGTTTGTGCTGGTCCCACCAGATCCAGCAGGACAGGCATACTATGAGTCCCTTCTGTGTAGCAATGATACTTTGTGGGATTGAGGAGGCATATCTTCTGCGCAGTGAGTGTGCCCTATGGAACAGCCTCACTTTGATGGTCAATGACACCATTGGCCTTCCTAAATTCCTGGGTTTTCCCTCACTCCTTAGGGAAGTATGTTGGTAGAGTCCCATGGGAGGGGGGTGTTTTATTTTGTAAAAATAGGTATACTTAATGTGGCAGTTTTTCTAATTACCTTGATTTCCTAGATCATTTAGGAATGCATGATGCCTTATACCAGCTATCATCCAGTAAATAACAAGCTGATGAGCATGTTGTGTGGAATTATTATTCCCATGTTTAACCATTTGATCTATATCCTTTGGAACAAGAAAGTGAAAAGGGCCTAACTGTTCACCAGTTTCAATAGAAGAGAATGTAGATAGCTCCTTGGTGCTCTCTGGCTTTGAGTATTGCTTGCAGATGTATTATTACCCAACTAGATAATATCATAAAAGCTAGTGAATGGGAGGTTTATTCCCTATTTATACACAGTAGCTTCCCCTGCCAGTGTTGGAGGAGATATGCTTTTCTCCATAATAGTTCCTTGATCAGGGCATTGTTTTCTACTTGATTGTTTGTCTGGTGTTAATTCCTGCTTATCTGGGTTATTGGTGAGGATGTGCCCTAGTCTTAAGACCAGGGATGTTAACTTTGTGAAGTAAATATGCAAGTGGCAAAGAAAACATGAGTTCAACAACATGCATGCTCACATCAGAGAGACAAGTCACCAAAAGTCAACTAAGTTTAACTTAGGTGGGTTCTAATCCAAAATAGGAGGCACAAGACTGGTCAAACAAAGTCCAAGGATCCAAATTCAGAAGGTTCATCAGCCAATCCTGGTCTAGAGTCAAAGTCCTGAGGTTTCAAGTTGGGAGACAAGGCATACAGTACAGGGTCTGGGTAAACAAACAGTTGTTGCCAACAGAGAGATTGGACCTTGCTGTTCTTAAATGGAAGCAACCCCAACGTTGCTCCTTTGGAAGGGGAAGGTTCCTTTCTTGCATGAAGCCTTAAAAATGCTTTTGCTCTGCTCTGTGAGTCCTTACTTTGGGAAGTGATGAATCCTCATTTTCAAAGACTAGCAGCAGCTGTGCCTGCTGGTTACTGGATGGCCCCATCTCCTCTGTCTGCAGCTGCTCAGGAACTGGATGCTAATTGTCAGTCTCCTCATCTGAACCTGACCTTGCTATGAGAGTGACAGCCTTCCTTGTAAGGAACTTGCCAATCAAAATAATAAAGTTAGGTTTCCTGTCATGGCTCTCCCCTTTTTTGAATAAATCTAGCTGTGTTCTTCTAAAGTTGACATTGACTACTGTCATTTTCTAGAGTTGCTTCTACCCATAAATATGTGCACAAGAACAGCCACCATATGAAGAGATGAAACCGACTGATATAACTGAATTTTTACCTAAGGAAGCCCCATAACTTTGCTACTAATTTCTTGAAAGCAGTTTTTAATTCTTTGTTCCTCAAGCTATAAATGATGGGATTCAAGCTGGGGGTCACTACTGTGTAGAGTAGGGCAAGAAACCTGTTATTGTCCTGATGATTTGCTGAGTTGGGATGAATGTAGGCAGCAGTGATTGTTCCATAGTACAGGAGAACAACAGTGAGATGTGAGGAACAAGTGGAAAATGCTTTCTGTCTATTCTTGGCCACTGGAATCATGAGAATAGTAGAGATGATGAGAATGTAGGAAAAAAGGATAAGCAGAAGGGGTACCAGGGCAAACACCATGGTTAGTATGGCATTGGCCACTTCATTTTTGTAGGTATTGGTGGAAGTCAGTCTTAAAACAGGCATAATATCACAGAAGAAATGGCTGATTCTGTTCAACCCACAGAAAGGAAGGGTGAATATTGAAACAGATTGCCCCAAACCCATCAAAATCCCAAAGGCCCATGATGCAGCAACAAATTTAACACATTCTCTGTAGTTCACGATATATGGGTATTGCAAAGGTTTGCAGATGGCAACGTAGCGATCATAGGCCATGACACAAAGAAGACAACATTCAGTGACACTGAAAAGAACAAAGAAGCACATTTGACATCCACAGCCCCAAAAGGATATAGTCTGATTCTCAGATAATAAGTTCACTAGCATCTTTGGGCTGATGGAAGAGGTGTAGCCAATTTCCAAAAAGGACAAGTTCCAGAGGAAGAAATACATTGGGGTGTGAAGGGTGGGACTGACAATGGTGAGGATCAAAACAAGACTGTTGCCCATCAAGGCTATGAAATAGAATATTAGAACCAGGCAAAATAAAAGCTCTTGTATTGTCTGGAAATCTGAGAAACCTATTAGGATCATCTCAGTCAAACAGGACCGGTTGTCTTTCTTCATAGTATTGTCCAGGTTGAGGTCTAAGAAAACAAGAAAAATGTAACATTAAAAACTACATTCATCTCTTAGCAATTTCAGCTTTGAAGAATAAGAATGGAAAGAGTATTAAAGTCTCTGAACATTGGTTTTTGGAGAATATGCCTGAGGTTATCATGGACTGCCAAGAAAATAAACAAGTGGACCTAATAAACAAGTCAAGCCAGAGTTATCACTTAAGACACAAATCATCAGACTCAAATTATTTTACTTTGGATATATTATGCAAAAAGCTAGGTTTCTGGAAAAACTTTGCTGGGAAAGGTGGAAGGAAAGAGAAGAGGAAAACAATCGGCAAGTTATACAGACTAAGTTGCAGTGGCAATAGATGCATCCTTAGAAAACCTGAAGTACCAGATTAGAGACAGATCATCATGCAGACAATTTAGAGTCAACACTGACTTGATGGCACCTATTTGATCAATTGATTTTAGCAGCTATTAACAATTAATAGCCTTTTCATAATACATATATCCTACATCCATCACATTTACTCAAAATTAGTAAATTGGATCAAGTTCTTGAAAATTGGAAAATTTAAATTTAATGTCCTACATATTTTTTTGCAATTATACCATTTTAATGAAACACACAATCATTCTCACATTTTTTTTAAACTGATTTGTCAGAATTTTCTGTGTTCAGAATTTAAATATGGGCCTCTTGAGTTTAAGGCACAGACTTGATTTCAAGATGACACATCTTTGTTTATTTAATTCTTTATTATTTCAGAGATTCTGGCCATTATAAGCATGAACTCAATTTTTATTGTATTTCCTTGAATTAAAAACTTGTTATAACTATATTGCTGACAATAAAATTCCCCTAGTATTCCTCAGACTACCACTCAAAAAGTAAAACTCATTTTCATGAAGTTGCATATCTGCAGGAACCATCCCACTAAATCTGACCTTGGTAAATTATGAGATATCAATCTTACTTTGTGAATGTTTTTCGAGTGGTTTTTATAGAGCTGGGATATTTCTTCTTGCTGTAATATTCATTGGTAATTCAAGGTCTTGAAAATTCTCCTGCCTTAGATGAGTCTGTATACATTCCTTCCTCAGGAAAAAAAATGATATACTGGAGGCTGTTTAGAGGAGCTGAATTAACAAGTCTGGAGAAGTCCCTGGACTCCTAGAGGTTCCAAAATTCCAGAGAGACTAGACGACATTTTCTCTAACAAAGTCTCAGAAAAGGTCCAAGGATTCATTCTGGGAATCAGGTAAATTAATACCAGAAGACAACCTGGATCTAGGGGGAAGCATTCCCTACAGCTGAGTTGGGAAACCCAGTGGCTCCAGATACTGGATATTTTCATTTACAATTTCCATGACTCCCTAACCATTTGCCAAGCTAACTCACTCATATAGGGAATTTAGTTCAAAAGATGACTACAATGGCATTATAGATATTGTGCCTAAACACTTGCCATGGAATCAACAACTGCACGGAAAATCTTTGGGCTGGTTTTAATATCTCTCCTCTTCCTTGAGCTCCAGAAAGTTCAATTTTATTTCAATTCTTTTCCCATTTCTTCCATGACACCTGATGCTCACACGATGTGGATCTCAAAAAGTATAATTTGTTCATAATTAAATATCTACATTGTTGGGTCAACTTTGGTGATTCACCTAGTATCTCATATGATTGGGCAGATGTAAAAATTGAAATTAGAAACAAAACAGTCCTGGCTTTTATAGTTTTAAAAGTGCATATTGCTATTCCTATAATAGTAGTTTTATCAACTTACTAGAAATTGGATAGTTCACACGGAATCTAGATGAGAGTATGATTTATTAATTATTTTATTGATGCTGAAATTTACCAATTGCTCCATCCAGATTCCCAGCCCACATTTTGATAAGGGACTGCTTTTATGTTAGTTTTTACCTTTCTCATATACTTTGTCAACCCTCTTGTTGAAACTGGAATAATATTTGGAGAATATCCAAAGGAAATTCTGGATTTCTGCATCCAGCGGCAGAAGGGGAGATCTAAATAGCTACTTCCTTGCATAGTTGTTATGTCATTCAAGTTATAACTACTCCATCCGCAGATGTTAAATCAGGGATTCAATAGGCTTGTCAGTGAAGAATGAGAATAAAAATATTTCAATACTGGATAATAAAACATTGATCTCATATAAATGATAAATGGATACAAGGATTTTTTAATAAGAAAGAACAGAGTTAATTTATTGTTGTTGCAATTCTAATAAGACAGATATATGCAGGAATATTTTTTTTAAAAAATCAAAATTAGTCTAAAGTTCCTATGTGGTACCATCTCTGAATTCAGTGCTCAGTTGTACATATATTTGAATAAATAACACTGTCTGATATTCCTTTATTTCCCTTTCCATGAAAGTAGTAAATCTTATGTTCCCCTGTTTCTACACCTCAATTTAGAAGCTATTAAGCCAAATACATCTTCCCAGGAAAAAAAAGCACTGGCACAATTTTATGGTTTCAAATAACACAACTATCCTTTCTAATAAAGGATACTTTTACACTTCTCCAGAGTAACTTTCTATCAGCTCAGGCACTGGGTGCTCCACCACTGGAGGTTTTTAAGAAGAGATTGGACAACCACTTTTTTGAAATGGTATGAGGTCTTCTGCTTGAGCTGGGAATTGGACTAGAAGACCTTCAAAGTCCCTTCAAACTGTTATTCTGGTATAAAACTTTGCAAAGACCAAGGAATGTTGGTAAACTTGGAGGAGGAGAAGATAGCACAAGGTGTGCAGAGGTCTGGGAAAGCAAAAGATTGTGACTCCCTATGCAGAAATTGCGTTCATAGAATATTACCTTCTTGTTTTTCAAATTCCCAACTGACTCCCCATTGTTTCATTCTCACACCCTGATTGTACTGACTTCTTGAAAGCATCTTTTATCTCCTTCCTTTTTCCACCCTTTTCTTTAGACTTTCTGAGCAGGGTAGCAGCTTTCCTTTTCAATAAATGGACAGCTAACCTTTATCTGAATTCTATCAGAACAAAGAACTAAGATTAACTTTCAGGGCTCTCTCCTTGTTTTAAACAAATCTGTCTGGATCATTCTGCTGTAAAGGGTAAAACCTGCCACTAATATATCCATTATACCTCATAGGTAGGTTCATAGCATAGGTATGTTGAAGAGAACAAATCTGTGGATATAATACATTTATTCAGTAAAGAGCATCTGTTTCCTTCCTATAGATTTCATGAGAGCAGTTTTTATCTCTTTATTCCTCAAGCTGTAAATGATGGGATTTAAACTTGGGGTCACTACTGTGTAGAGCAGGGCAAGGAATCTGTTACTGTCCATGGAATATTCTGAGTTGGGACGAATGTAGGTAAAAATGCCAGTCCCAAAGAAAATGCAGACCACAGTGAGATGTGAGGAACAGGTGGAAAATGCTTTGCGCCTGTTCTTGGCCAGTGGCATTGTGAAAATTGTGGAAATGATGAGAATGTAGGAAAAAAGGATGAGCAAAAGAGGTGCCAGAATAACTAGAACTGTTACTGTGACAATGGCCAACTCATTTTTGTAAGTATTAGTGGAAGCCAGTCTCAGAACAGGCATGAGGTCACAAAAGAAATGGCTGATTCTATTTGACCCACAGAAGGGAAGGGTGAAGATTGAAATAGATTGCCCCAGACCCACAGAAACACCAATCGTCCATGAAACAGCAGCAAGTTTAGTGCATTCCCTGAGGTTCATGATATATGGGTATTGCAAGGGTTTGCAAATGGCAACGTAGCGGTCATATGCCATGACACAAAGAAGACAACACTCAGTGGTACCAAAGAGAAGGAAGAAGCACAATTGAATTCCACAGCCCCAAAATGATATGTTTTGGTTGTCTGATAATATATTCACTAGCATCTTTGGGCTGATGGAGGAGGTGTAGCCGATTTCCACAAAGGACAAGTTCCAGAGGAAGAAGTACATTGGGGTGTGAAGCGTAGAACTGGTAATAGTGAGGATCAAAACCAGGCTGTTGCCCATCAAGGCTATGAAGTAAAATGTTAGAACCAGGCAAAATAAAAGTTCTTGTATTGTCTGGAAATCTGAGAAGCCCAACAGAACAATATCGGTCAAACAGGAGTGGTTGTCTTTCTTCATAGTATCATCCAGATTGAAGCCTGAGAACACAAAATGAATGTGAAGTAAAAATTACATTTGTTTCTTAATATTTTCAACTTTGAGGAATAGGAATTAGAGTAATTGAAGTATCTGAACACTGGTTTTAAAGAACACACCTGATAATATCCTGGACACCCAAAATAAATAAATAAGTGAATATTAAACAAGTCAATTCAGAGTTCTCACCAAAAGCACAAATCATCAGACTCAAGTTATTTTACTTTGGACATATTATGCAAAGATCAAGGTTTCTGGAAAAAGCTCTATTGCTAGAAAAGATGAGAGAAAAAAGAAGAGAGGAAGACAATCAGCCAATTAAATGGACTAAGTTAAAGTAGTAATAGGTGCATCTTTGTGAAAGGATCAAGTAAGGGACAGATCATCACACAGACAATGTAGCGTTAACACTGACTTGATGGTACTTAACAGATCAGTAACAATTAATAGCCTTTTCACACTACATATTTATTATCTGCATCCTTCACATTTATCAAAATTAGTTAATTGGATCAAGTTCTTGAAAACTGGAGACTGCTCATTTAATTTAGTGTCCTACATTTTTTTTTTTTTGCAATTATACCATTTTAATAAATCACACAATAATTCTCTCTTTTTTTAGAACTGATTTGTCAGAATTTTCAGTGCTCAGAATTTAAATATGACCCTCTTGAGTTTAAGGCACAGATCTGATTTCAGTATGACACAACTTGGCTTATTTAATTCTTTCTTAGTTCAGAGATTCTGGCCATTGTAAGAATGAGCTCAATTTTTACTGATTTGAATTAAGAACTTTTTGTAACTACATTGCTGATGATAAAATTCTCTTAATATTTCTCAGACTATCATTCAAAAATAAAACTTATTTCATGAAATTGCATACCAACAGGAACCATTCCACCAAACCTGACCTTGTTTATTTATGAAGTATCAATCTTACTTTATGAATAGTTTTCTGATTATTTTTATAGAGATGGGGTGTTTCTTCCCAAGGAACATTGCACATGCTGTAATATTCATTGGTAATTCAACAACTTGAAAATGAGTCTTTATGCATTCCTTCTTCAGGGAAAAATTTATAATGTGGGCTGTTTATAGGAGCTGGCATTAACAGGACTGAAGAAGCCTCTAGACTGCTAGAAGTTCCAAAATTCCAGAGAGACTGAGGACTTTTTCTCTAACAAGGTCTCATGAAAGAAGCCCAAGAATTCATTATGGGAATCTGGTAAATTAATACCAGTAGACACTCTCTACCCAGGGAAATACATTCCCTACAGCAGAATTAGGAAACCCAGTGACCACACATACTAGATATTTTCATTTACAATTTCCATGACTTTGAGATAATTTTAATATCTCTCCTTTTTCCTGAGCTGAAGAAATTCAATTTCATTTCAGTTCCTTTCCCACTTCTCCAATTCCACCTGATGCTCACACAATTTGAAATTCAAATAATATAGTTCAGGGATGGCGAACCTTTTAGATACCAAGTGTCTAAAACCCGCCCTGCCTGCCCCTGCTCCGCCCGCTCTGCCCCTGCCCCGCCCACCTGTAGGGCCACCTACCACCTCCACAGCCCACTGCAGATCGTCCAGGCAGCCCTGCAGCGCCATGGCGGCCACGCCCTCTGCCTGCGCCCTGCAGCAGCATCTGCATGTGATGGGGCATGAGGGCAAAGTCTTATCCCTGCTGCCCAACTACCATGTCTTTGGATGCATTGCTCCATGTGGGTCGTGCCCGGGGGTGACTCTCCTCCAGGGGGGCTGCTGGTGAGGAGGGGGCTGTGGGGGGAGAGAGGGCTCTGTGTGCCGCCTCTGGCACGCGTGCCATAGGTTCGCCACCACTGATATAGTTTGTTCATAATTAAACATTCACATTGTTGGATTAACTAGTGATTCGCCTAGAATTTTGTATGACTGGACTGATGAAGAAATCGAAATTACAAGCAAATCCATCCTGGATTTTATAATTTTAAGAGTGCATGGTTGTGTTCCTATGAAAGCATCACATATTTGTAGGAATTGGATGGTCCACAGGAGATCCACCTGGAAGTAGCATTTATTAATGTTTTTATTGATATAGAAATTTACTGGTTGCTCCACCTAGCCAAGATTCTCAGCAGATGACATAATAAAATATATCTCAAAAAATTATTATAGAGAGACAGAGGCATGACCTCAGAGAAAGGATGTAGACATGGTTACCGAATCGAAAGGATGCTTTAATCCCAGGGAACATGGAAATCCTGAGAAAGAAGCTCTGATTGGCTTCACCCTCATTCACTCAGGTATAAGAGGCTGAGTCAAGCTTTCAAGATTCTGTTATTGTAGTCTGGATCAATATGGTAGAGTTCCAGCCAACCTGGTGGAGTCTATTTATGACCTGGGCTATATGGAAAGAGTAACAGCTAAATTTCATCAACAAACATCCAAACCTTCCACTAAGTTCAAAATGAGACTCCAATGCCCAGCATTCTTCACTTACCTGATACTCTCTGCCTTGGAAGACTTAGTGAAAAGAAACATCTAGTGCAGTGTTTCTCAACCTTGACAATTTTAAGGCATGTGGACTTCAACTCCCAGAATTCCACAGCCAGCAATGCTGGCTGTGGAATTCTGGGAGTTGAAGTCCACATGCCTTAAAATTGTCAAGGTTGAGAAACACTGATCTAGTGGCACTTCTGAACATTAAAAGGAGGGGACCATACTAACTAGTTGAGACAAGGTCTTCCAGAGGGAAAGACACTATTGAGATGGCCTGTTTCAGACTCCTAAAATCACTATGAAGGAGATCTACATGGATCTAGGCTCATATGCCCAGAAAGGCCCGATCCTCTTAAAGATATCTATAGAGATTCTTAATCATCCAAATCATGGTTGTCCCAAAGATGCTTTTTCAAGAGGCAACTGGGCTTTCTTTGTTTTTCCTCAAAGACATTTCATCTCTCATTCAAGAAGCTTCTTCAATTCTGACTGAAGAACTGAAGAAGCTTCTTGGATGAGAAGTGAAACATCTTCAAGGGAGAACAAAGGAAGTCCAATTGCCTCTTGAAAAAACACCATTGGGACCTCTTGAATATGGTTTCTTCTATCATATCAGGAAGATGAAGATCTTCAGGGAAGCTGATTTAGGAAAAAGTCTTCTATCATCCCATTCTCCTCAAATGGGGACCATTGTTTCTTTTCAATGACCAGGGGCTGAATATTCTTTTCCATCTCTTTCCGCCATGACAAACTTTCAGGAATTATCTGTTCTCCCTCCAAATGACCCCAAAATTCTTAAAACAAAAAACAAAAATCTGGCACTACTGCTTCCCATTACCATTAGACAATATTTAATGTAATGGAAACAGAAACAGCTTGTATTCAGAGACACAATAAGGACTACTTCTCTGGAATGAACATGCCTCAATATTAGATTTTAATAAAGGATTATTTTTATGTTAAAAGTTTTACTGTTGTCATGTACATTGTTAACCCTTTTACTGAAATGCTACTATGGCTGCAGTTCTGTTCTGGAATGACATTTGGAGAATATCCAGAGGAAGGTCTGGATTTCTGCATCCAGTGATAGAAGGGGACACCTAACTAGCTACCTCCTTGCATATTGTAGTTGTTAGGTCACTTGAGTTGTAACTAACTCTAACTGAAGATGTTAAATCAGGGATTCAATAGGCTTGTCAATGAAGAATGAGAAAAAGAAATATTTCAGTACAGGATAATAAAACACTAATTTTGTAACAATGCATAAATGGATAATAAGAAAGAACATAGTTTATTATTGTTGCAATTCTAATAAGACTGATATCTCAGGAGATATTTACCAAAAAATCAAAGTTTAAAGTTTCTATGTGGTACATTTGTGAATTCAGTGCTCAGTTGTTTATGTTGCAATAGCAATAGCACTTACACTTATATACGGCTTCACACTGATTTACAGCCCTCTCTAAGCAGTTTACAGAGTCAGCATATTGCCCCCAACAATCTGGTTCCTCATAGTACTTGAATAAATAATACTGTCTGATATCCCTATATCTCCCTTTCCATGAAAGTAGTAAGTTTCCCATGCTAGTATTTCTGCAGCATAGGTTAGAAGCTGCTCAGCCAAATATATCTTCCAAGCAAAAATAAAGCACTGGCACAACTGTGTAATTTCAAATTATGCAATCATCTCATCTACAAAAACACTTTTCCAGAGTAATTGTCAGCTCAGGCATAAATTTTTGCAAAGCCAAAGAATGATAGTAAACTTGGAGAAGGACAAGATAGCACAAAATGAAAAGAGTTCTGAAAAAACAAAATATTGTAACTCACTATATAGAAATTGTTTTCATGGAACATAGCCTTATTTTTTTCAAAAAAATCAAACTTGTCTTGGTAGTCTTCCCCATTGTTTCATAGTCACACCCTGATTGCTATTGATATCTTGAAAGGATTTTTATCTCCCCCCCCCTTTTTTTTTTTCTTTAGACTTTCTGGCAATTTTCCTTTTAAATAAATGGGCAATCAACATTTATTTGAATTCTACCACAATGATAAATTTAGGTTACCTTGCAGGGCTCTCCTTGTTTTAAATAAATATATCTGGGTCATTCTGCTGTAAAGGGTGCAATCTGCCACTGGTGTTCCCTGGACTCCATTGTGCATGACCACCACAATGTGTTAAAGGCATCAAGTCTATGGATATACTAGTATGATCCTATAAAGAACATCTGTTTCCTTGCTACAGATTTCATGAAAGCAGCTTTTATTTCTTTATTCCTCAAGCTGTAAATGATGGGATTTAAACTTGGGGTCACCACTGTGTAGAGCAGGGCAAGGAATCTGCTACTATCCATGGAATATTCTGAGTTGGGACGCATGTAGGTAACAATGCAGGTTCCGTAGAAAATGCAGACCACAGTGAGATGCGAGGAACAGGTGGAAAATGCTTTGCGTCTGGTTTTGGCCAGTGGCATTGTGAGAATAGTGGAAATGATGAGGATGTAGGAAAAAAGGATGAGCAAAAGAGGTACCAGAACAAATAGAACTGTTAGTGTGACAATGGCCACTTGATTTTTGTAAGTATTGGAGGAAGCCAGTCTCAGAACAGGCATAATATCACAAAAGAAATGGCGGATTCTATTTGACCCACAGAAGGGAAGGGTGAAGATTGAAATAGATTGCCCCAGACCCACAGAAACTCCAATGGCCCATGATACAGCAGCAAGATTAGCGCATTCCCTGAGGTTCATGATATATGGGTATTGCAAGGGTTTGCAAATGGCAATGTAGCGGTCATATGCCATAACACAAAGAAGACAACACTCAGTGACACCAAAGAGAAGGGAAAAACACATTTGACAGCCACAGCTCCAAAAGGATATATTCTGGTTCTCTGATAATAAGTCCACTAGCGTCTTTGGGCTGATGGAGGAGGTGTAGCCAATTTCCACAAAGGACAAGTTCCAGAGGAAGAAGTACATTGGGGTGTGAAGGGAACGATTGAAAATGGTGAGGATCAAAATCATGCTGTTGCCCATCAAAGCCATGAGGTAGAATATTAGAACCAGGCAAAAGAGAAGATCTCGCATGGACTGAAAATCTGAGAAGCCTAGTAGGACAATTTCAGTCAAACAGGTCCAGTTCTCTTTCTTCATGATCAAAACCTTAGGAAAACAAGAAAATGAAGAATTAAATAATTCTTCATAACAATTTTTAACAATGAACTAGCCCTGCTATCTTTGAAATCTTCATGACTACACAATAGTATAATACTATTAGTATGTTGGATCAATAAAACCTTTCATGAAGTTGTACAACAGGAAGAACCAAACCACCAAGCATGAACCAAAGGAATCCATTGGCCTTACTTTAGAATTGTTTTCTGATATTTTTTTAGAAAGAAAGGCTTTCTTTCTTCTTGTGAAAAAAAATGAAGTGCACTAAAAAGTTAAGATCTTGAACATCAGCTTGTCGTAAGTGAGCCTTCATGTATCCCTTTCTCTTGAAAAAGATATTTCTTACATGTAGACATTTTGGATCAGCCAATATCAAATATTGTGAAGGAGTCTATAAAATCACTTGAAATCCTAGAGGATCAGAAATTCTAGAGAGACAAGAGGACTATTTTTCTCTAACAAGATCTCCTGGCAGAAGCCTGAGATTCATCCTAGGGATTTGGTTAATGAATACCAGAGGACAACCTGGATCATGGGGAAACATTGTTTAAAAGAAGTTGGAAATCCAGTGCCCTCAGATGCTGGTTATTTTGGTTTCCATTTCCAGAACTCTCTGGCCATTTCTCCTGTTGATTCTGTCTTATAGTTATGGTATTCCAAAAGACAATGCCAATCAATGGGATAATATATATTGTCCTGAGCACACTATCTGTCATGATGATCAATAATCACATGAAATCTTTGTGAGCTAAGAGCATTTTTAATATGTCTCCTCCTCCTTAGCTATAATAATGGCAGTTTATTCCATTCATATTTCCTCCATTTTGTTTCATGTTCACATGATTTCACTCTCAAACAACGGAGTGTGTTCCTCATAATTAAATTATTAAGTTTGCCAATTTTTATCCTTATATGTCTCCAATCATCATGCATGAAGGAGATCTACAGCATATATTCTTGACTTGCATGCCCCAGAAGCTCCTAAAATAAAATATCTGCAAATTAAACTCCTAATTCCTACTGAAAAATCACTTAAAAGCAATACAAAACTCTTTAGGTAAATATCTACAGAGGGGGGTATTATGTTTGTATAATTTATGGCATGCAGTGATTACTTTTTTAGATTGTACACTGACAACATGCATATAAATGTTAAAGTTTCACCAAATGGAATACAACTTTCCAGCATTTTGGGAAAATCAATGGCAAGAGATTCTTGTACTTCAGAGGATGTTTAACCCATTCTTATCTCCAAGAAGTTATTGATTAGTCCCTTTCTGGTTAGACTACTGCAATGACCTCTACAAAGGGCTGCCTTGAAAAGAATAGGAGCGTAAGCTGATCCAGAATGTCCATAGTGCACAATGTTGGATGCAGCATAGAATACTAATGTAATACCATTTCAATGTGAACCCATGATCCCTTCCTGCCTACTGTAATAACTATGTCCAGCACTTTTCTCTCAGCTTTATTAATGTGTTCTCTTCCCATTCCAGAGGAGGAAGCTAAACTAAAGCAGTTTTGATTTTGCTGACCCACTGCTAAAATCATTTATGACCCCAACCCCTCAGCTGAAAGGCAGTATCCTCATTTCCCAAAGCTAGCTGGCCTCCCCTTCTCAACAATGCCAGCTGGAAGGGAAACTCAATGTTGCAAACATAATTCACAGAACAGAATAACAGAGTGGGAAGGGACCTTGGAGGTCTTCTAGGCCAGCCCCCCACTCAAGCAGGAAACTCTATACTATTTCAGGTTCTCCAACTTCTTCTTTAAAATTTCCAGTGTTGAAGCACTCACAACTTCTGGAGACAAGCCATTCCACTGATTACTTGTTCTCGTTGTTAGGAAATTTCTCCTTAGTTCGTGGTTGGTTCTCTCCTTCATTAGGTTCCATCCATTGCTTCTTGTGCTGCCTTCAGGTGATTTGGAGAATAGGTTGACCCCCTCTTCTTTGTGGCAGCCCCTGAGATATTTGAACACTGCTTCTTTACTGTTATGGAAAAAAACCCAATGAAAAGAACATAAGACAGCAACACGAAACAATAATTCTTACTTTAAGATTCAGAGGTTTATTTTGCTAATAATTTGGAACATAGCAAGTATAATAACACATCACTTACATTAATAACCCATTGCAATCAGGTCCACTGGTATAGCAAATTCCGAAGGACAGCTATAGGCCAATGGGAAATCAATCAGGTCCAGACCCAACTCTTTATATCCTTTCCTGTTCTAAGACTGTAGTCAGATGGTCTGCTGACTTCTGCTGACTTTTGCTGAACATAACTTTCCACATATACCTGTGTACATTGGAACCCACATCCATCAGCTACTTTCAGTTCCCTAGTTCTTACTGCTCCAGACTTTATGTTCTAAATATATTTGAAACTAGCAAGCTTAACAAAATCATATTAAGTAAAGTACAATTGCAAACTGCAAAATTAAGCATAGCACAGACTTTGGTTCAATACTATGTCCATGAGGCCTGATTTAGTTCACCTGGGCCTAAACCTTGCATAAAACAACAATAGGCAATATTTTCATTTTCCACAGTCCCCACTTCCTGTTCGAAAGGACAACACAAAACATAAGTAAAAGGATACGATTAGAGGAATTCTGAGGTAAAGCGTCTACAATCGTTTCAGAGGGGCATGTAAAGAAAGTATTTTATTGAGAAATACATACAACCTCAGTAGGTTTAAGACTCATGATAAAAGAATACAAATGCCAATAAACAACAACACAACTATAGTCCATACAGCAAGCATGAGGCATTTTGCTGATGCAGATAGTCTCCTTCATGCGCCTCTGGGCATTCATTGTGTTGGAAAGGTGGTATGAAGTTTTTCAATTGTCTGAGAATGGCAAATCGGAATTCACTTCTTGTTGGTGCTGGAGATTGCATGCTGGTGGGGAGCAGAGATTACTAGCACTTGCTCTCCTGTTGGGCAAAGCTTCATGCATAAAAGAACACTAGCCAATATTTTCATTTTCCAGATTTCCAACCATGAGTCTCACAGATTGTTTTTAGCAAAATTTATTGAGATGAATGAGATGAGGTTATGAGAATCCCAGCAACTGAACTATTTCCCACTTAAATCCAAGATATTTCCACATGAAGAAATTAGGAGAAACCATCTTCAAGAGAACTGGGTCTTTCTGGGGCATATAAGCCTAGATCCATATAGATATTCTTTTCCATCTATTTCCAGCAGTGTTCCAGTATTTGAGGGGCTGCCACAAAGATGAGGGGCTCAAATTATTCTCCAAAGCACCAGAAGGCAAGACAAGAAACAGTGGATGGAAACTAATCAAGAAGAGAAACAACCTGGAATTAAGGAGAAACTTCCTAACAATGAGGACGATTAACCAGTGGAACAGTTTGCCTTCAGAAATCGTGGGCGCTCCATCACTGGAGATTTTTAAGAAGAGACTAGACAGTCACTTGTCCGAAATGAACATACCGCAATATATAAGGGACTATTTTTATGTTAAAAGTTTTACAGTTCTCATATAATTTGTCAGTCAATACCACTATGGCTGAGGTCTGTTCTGGAATGACATTTGGGGAATATCCAGAGGATGATCTGGATTTCTGCATCCAGTGGCAGAAGAGGAGACGTAACTGGCAACCTCCTTGCATAGTTATTAGGCCATCCAAGTTATAACTACACCATCTGTATTCAATAGGCTTGTAGGTGAAGAATGAGAATAAGAAATATTCCAATAAGGATAATAAAACACTGATATCATATCAATGCATAAATGGATTACAGAACTTTTTTAATAAGAACAGAATTAGTTAGTTAGTTGTAATTGTAATAAGACTAATATATCAGGAATATTTAAAACAAAAACAAAAATAGACTACAGTTCCTAGGTGGCACAATCTCTGAATTCAGTTCTCAGTTGTATATGTACTGTCTGATACTCTTTTACCTCCCTTCGTGTGAAAGTTGTAAATCTTTCTACAACTCAGGTTAGAAGCTCCTAAAGCCAAATACATCTTCTCAAAGAAAATAAAGCATTGGCACAGCTATATGGTTTCAAATTACACAACTATCCTTTCTACAAAAGAGATACTTTTACACTTTTCCAGAGTAACTAACTATCAGCTCAGGCATTGGATGCTCCATCACTGCAGGTTTTTATGAAGAGATTTGACAGCCATTTGTCTGAAATGGTATGGGGGTCTCC